CTGCCGGCCCTAAGTTACATTGAAACAAGGAGACCACAGAGCTGATGAATAGAGGTTAAATTCTTAGGGTTTTCTTCCTGTGTGTTCTTGATGCATTCTGCCTAACTCTTAAGTGGGTCCTTGTCTCCCTCTGCTTTTGAGGTACAGATTTATAATCCACTTTTTCTAAGTTAAACTGCTGTTGGCCTTTGTGGTCCATTGGGCCTTGAGCTGTCTGAGATGATGGATACTGGGAATCTGAGGTGGAGAAGAACCTGTGGGTGCTGTCCTTGCCCTTGCCACTACATCTACCATCCTTGGTGTGGAATTTATTTTCAATTTTCATGAATTTTAAAATTAAATGGACTGAAAATTGCTCTGTTTGCCCCCCTCGCAAAATTCCATATTGCCATGGCCATGTGAAACGTTTGGAATGAGTTAATTGTGTGCATCAGCAAAATTTTGCTTTGCTCTGTTAGATATAGAACTAAGATGAGAACTCTGTGGAACACATGTGTGAACACACAAATGCACACAGCAGCTGTGGCTCCAAGTTGGTTGCATTTGGTGGGATTTTTCTGTATGCCCATCAAAATCACCTCCCCAGGGGAATGGCCACGCCGCAATCCCTTCTCCTCCATTCTCTCGGGATTTGGGGCACACACACACATGCACCCAGTGTGGGTTTAAGCCACTGGGTCCAGGACTTGAACCATCGTCGACTATGTGTGAGTCCATTGACGTAGTCATTATGCCATCTGCTGGTTCCCAGAAACTGTTTCTTTAGATTTGTCCTTTTCTTCTGTCCTTGTAACTGCTGCCCTGCTTCTGAAAAATAAAAAGAAGCTGTGGCTCCAAGTTGGTTGCATTTGGTGGGATTTTTCTGTATGCCCATCAAAATCACCTCCCCAGGGGAATGGCCACGCCGCAATCCCTTCTCCTCCATTCTCTCGGGATTTGGGGCACACACACACACATGCACCCAGTGTGGGTTTAAGCCACTGGGTCCAGGACTTGAACCATCGTCGACTATGTGTGAGTCCATTGACGTAGTCATTATGCCATCTGCTGGTTCCCAGAAACTGTTTCTTTAGATTTGTCCTTTTCTTCTGTCCTTGTAACTGCTGCCCTGCTTCTGAAAAATAAAAAGACAGACTTTCCATCACCTGGCAGTGAGTGAGTCTATGGAGGCTGCAGTGCACCTTGGCCAGAGCCCTGTGATGACAATTACACTTGTCTCATTTAGTTGTCATTACTGTAGCCCCAAGAACAGCGGGATGAAGTTACTAGAGGATATCTACCAATACCTTATTAGAAAACTTTTGCAAATATCCCCTACTCTATGGGGCTGATTGTTCTTTTGTAATAAATGTGTTTATTACTAACTCCCCCTGTAAATAGTTGTTCTTGCCTTCCTTTCCTTTCTCATCTGTCTAAATCCTGTGTTCTTTTTTTAAAAAAAATTTTTTTCTGATCTCGAATTCAAAGTAGTGAAGTCACAAGACAAAATATATTCGCACCAGGCAGGCAGATTAAATCTTTTGTTTTTTTCAGATCCCTGTTATACATTGTTAGATATTTATTTTCACATAACCTAAAGATCCTAGTTGAAACAGGATCATTTAATTTTAACTTCCTTATTAATATAGAAAAGAATCTGAGGTCCATAAACATGGAAGGACTTGTCCAAGGTCATGAACCAGGTGAGGCGCAGAAACAGCCCACATTGAGTACTGCTGCTTTTTTTTTTTTTTTTTTTTTTTTTTTTTGAGAGGTTTTCACTATAGGGCACATGCGCTCGCCAGACAGAGACAGAGAGATAGAAAGCGCAAAATCACCCCCCAGAGAGGATGGCCATGCCACAATCCCTTCTCCTCCATTCTCCTCTCGGGATCTTGGGCACGCACGCACACGCACCCGGCATGAGTTTAAGCCACCTGGTCCGGGACTCGAACCGCGGTTGACTATGTGGGAGTCCAGTGACACAGCCATTACGCTAACTGCTGGTCCCAGTACTGCTTCTTGAACGCAGAGACATGGGCAAGGTGGACCGACTTCCAGCGTGTTGCCCTTATAAGGAGCAGGGCACTGGGGCATCACCCTGGAATCCCAGAGTTGCTGTTTTCAATGTCCCTAGAGGAAGTACAGGTGGCAAAGATGATTTCCTTAAAAAATCAAAATGATAAGAAACATATATTTTTCATTACAAATGCCAACCCTTTAAAAAAAGTAAGTGCCAAACCCACTAAATAGTTGAATTTTTTAGTTCGTGTGCACGCTCCCTTATCCATATCTGTATCTAAAGTAAAGTGACGGTTAGAAAGTGGCTTGGTGATGGTGGCACCCAGAACAGTGCTAAGCAAGGTCGGCCTAAGTGAGGAGTGGCTCTGCATCGCTCTAGGGCACCCCTGTCCCCGGATGACGTGTTGAGCTGAGAGTTAGTAACCTCTTCTGTGGACGGTGCTGCAGGTGCACAACCTATGCTTGCTTGCTTGGTCTCCCTGTCCTCTGCTCCCTTTGCCAGCCCACATGCTCTGCCTTGCCCAGGGCCACTCTACTCCAAGGAAAGAATGAGACATTCTTTCTTTGATATGTCATTATCACCTCAGTGTTGGCTTTTCATTCATTCACCAAATATTTGTCAAGCATTTGCTCTGTGCTGTTCCTGTTACAGATGGGAACCAATGGGCAAGGTCTTCGGCGGAATTTACACCATGGAGCAGGGAGGTGTAATATAAAGGTAAAAAGATAAGTGAGCAGCTTAGTTTCAAATGGTGGCAATTAATGGGAAGGCAAAATGTGACATATTAAGGAAGGCTTTTAGGGTGGCAAACTTTAGAAGAAATATTTTTCAGGAAATATTTTTCTGGAGGTCTTTTTTTTTTTTTTTTTTTTTTGCTATAGGGCGCGTGTGCTCACCAGAAAGACAGAGAGACAGAAAGCGAGAAATCACCCCTTGGAGGGATGGCCATGCTGCGAACCCTTCTCCTCCATTCTCTTCTCGGGATCCTGGACATGCACACACACGCACCCGGCATGAGTTTAAACCACTGGGTCTGGGACTCGAACCATGGTCGACTACATGGGAGTTCAACGACACAGCCATTACGCTAAGTGCTGGTCCCCTGGAGAAGTCTTACATAAGCTGAGATACAAATGATAAGCCATCCATTCATGACACAGACCATGTATGATAAAGATCATGTGTGACACTGATCATGTGTAACACTGATCATGTATGACATGGGTCATGTAGGACAGATCATACATGCTGTTATGCCTACTTCATGGAAGTGGACCTTGAGGAAAGCCAGTCATCAGAATGATGTCAAGATCATGTTAAACGAGTGCTTTTGGAGCTACACGGCACGTTACCTTCATTTTCCGCAGACTTAATAAGAGTGCTGAATACATGCTCTTGGCAGAGTCAGAGTTCCACGGGTGACCATGGAGCGTATTTCAGGATAGTGGTTAGGAGCAGCCATTTTAAAGTTGAGCAGACCTGGGTTTTTTTTTTTTTTTAGAATTTTATTTATTTATTCATTCATTTATTTTAATTTGACAGAGAGAGACAGAGAGAGAAAGCAAGCCTCCAAGTCTGAGACTCAAACCTTGGTCAGCCTTGTGGGAATGTCCAGCGTCTTAATCACCATGCCACCTGCTGGTCCCCAAGCAGATCTGGATTTCATCCCAGTGTGTGTGCGCGCGTGCCCAAAATCCTGAGAGGAGAATGGAGGAGAAGGAATTGCAGCGTGGCCATCCTACCCCCGCCTGCCCCCCCGCCCCGGGGTTGATTTCTCACTTTGTGTCTCTGTCTGTCTCTGTCTCTCCAGTTAGTGCATACACCCTTTCACAAAAATTATCTCTAAAAAAATAATAATAATAAATAAGGAATTTCCTTAATATTAAAATATCTGTTACTATTGGTAGTAAAAGCCTGGAAGGACTTTTAGCTTTCATGTTCATTTATTCAGCAAATACCTTCTGAGTGTTCACTCTGCCCTCGTTAGGTTCTGGATGAAGAACAGGCCCGGGCTTTGACCTGTGCTCACACAGTGCTCAGCTAACAATCTGGTGATTGCATTCACTGTGATTGGTAACACAGTGGGGTGGGGATGGAGGTGGGATGTGGGGTACACAGGAGGGGTTAATTGGCTGTGCAGGTGAGGCAGCCCTGGGAATTCTGGTCTGAGGAGGCAGAAGCAAGGAGCCATGCTGGGAAATGCAATTGCAGAATGTGGGCTAAGGCTGGCCAGGATATGAGAATAGAGGTGTTGCCTTGCACAGATGTTCTTACTGTATCCCATAAGGAATGAGAAGCCTTTCAGTAGTTGTAAACATTTGAGGAATAGATCTTCAGTTTTATAGTCTGAAAAGATAACTGGCAGTGTGAAAGGCAGAACCATGGAGGGAACATGACCTAGGGCTGATTGAAATGCTTTGTCCTCCTCCTCATCACCTTCTCCACAGCAGGCAGACCTGTTCTCCTGCCATCACCACCACAAGGTAGCTAAGTCATCTTATTCTTGGTATTTAGATTCTGAAGTTACGACATGAAGCAAAACTTGGTCAACGAAGTTCTTGGGAAGGCAAGACTCTGAAGTCCAACATGGTGTGTGTGTTTTTCTGAGGGTCAGAAAAAATGACTGCTGCCTTGGTGGGGCATGAGAGAAAATACTTTGCTTGCATTTAGGGCCCTGTTGTATGAAATATAGCTCGATGTGGTGAGAGCGCCTACTTGAAGACTGGGAGGAACCACGGGAGCAGCAGGTTCATGACCTCCGTCTGTCTCCCTCTCACTGCAGGGCACGGGAACATTGAGCCCCACTGCCGGAGCAGTTTTAACTACCGCATCTGCGTCTGTGTGTGCGCACGCTCCTACACACAGCTGTTCTCTGTATCTGCAAAGCAGGCGTAAGTCTCTTCGAGCATGTGTAAATGCAACAACGGTCCTTGCGGTCGATTCCAACCTTCGGTGTTTCCTGAGTGTCAGACACTTGCAAGGAATCTTCATCATCCCATCTCATTTCTAACACGTATTTGAGAGAAGAGAGATTTCTCCTCATTGAACAAATAAAACTGTTGAAAGGAGATGCCTACTCTTTCTAAGTTCTCTATTGAATAAGAACTAGGAAAAAACCAGATCTGTTCTGGATTGCATCCTATCTTCGTAGCTTTTATGCTTAATTTTCTTTAGTTACAATGCCATTGTATTAACTTAGGCAAAATAATAGTGATAACAGGAAACTTAGCAATTTCAGTAGCAGAAAGAGAGTACATAAAGTATGTCATGGAAGGTGCATGTTATGAAAAAACTATGGATGGATTTCAAAGAGTTTTCACGCCAGAATAAATGAGTAATTTCGTTTTCTCCAAAACTTCTGAAGTTTTCTTACAGAAATAAGAGTCCAGAAAAGTTAAGTAGAGAGAATTAATGAGTTACAGTCTTTAAGAGGCTCCAAGATGGTTGGTAACGGTCAAAGAACATGGATGGATAGTTTAGAACTGAGGAAATACAAATGACTAATAAAGAAAGTTTTATAAAACTAGCAATCAAAGAAATGCATAAAGTATTATATTGGAGAGGAATTTCTGAATGCTTACGTTCTGGATTCGCATCCTTGTGTACTTCAGATGACGGTGTAAATTTACAATGTTTTGGAAAATAATTTGGTAAGTAGGTTTTATCTTCGTTAGAGAACATGTCGGAAGGAATAGAATCCCATTGTAGCTGAAGAGAAAAGGATGTCTTAAAAGAATATAAAGGTCTCTCCTTTACATTCTTTTGCTTGAAGGGTATGTGGAGAGCAGGATCAGTCAACAAATCGCCAGGGACTTAGTCAGTTGGAGAATACTCTAGGTGATTAAAAAATAATCAAAATAATATAAAGGTGTCTCACAGAACCCAGAGGCACTGAGTTCATTCAAGCCTTCCAAGAACTTGGAACCAGGACAGTTAAACTCACTGTCCCTCTGGGTATGTCGTCCCTCATCCCCACTAGGACCGTTGTGTCCCTCATGCTCTTCACACTGGCCCCTTCTCCGTTCCTCTGTGGATGGCCACCCTTGGTCTCAGGTTACAGTGCCTCTCAGCCCCGGTGCAGGAGCGGACACATTCTACCTACGGTGCCTTGGCAAGTCTTTGATGGGCTAAGCTTTGGTCAGTGATTACTTTGATCGTGGCAGCTCTGGCCATGGAACTCAGAGATCATTTGACCTGTAGCAAGCAAATAAAAGCACATACCTGCTATGTGTATCAGTAGCTTGGCAAATGTTCATTTCTTTTGCTTGCATAATTCCAATATTGGAAATCTACCTCTAGTCAGTTCTTGAGTAATTCAGTGAATAGCTCATCATGTCACAGCTCATCAGGTATTTCAGTGGGAATGGAAAGAAATGGGCAACTACTCACATGTTCAACAATGGGGAAATACACCCAGTCGAGGTGCTGTGTCCTGGGTGACACTGCTGCTTGGCAGGCTGAGGCTGTGTGAGAGGCCAGGGTTCAATTCCTAGCTTCCCCTAAAAGCCAGCTGCAATGGTGTGCACTGGTCATGCTTCAACACTTGGGATTCCTCTTTGTGATTAGCACCTGTATTGACTGTTGAGGTTTGTCCTTGGTGCCTTGTCACAGGAGATTGTCCGGGTAGCAGCTTCTCCTCTCAGGACAACCACGTCCATACCAGGTAGACTAGCAGCTAGCATATCCATGAGCTTGACTACCTAAAATACGTAGTTGCTTTGAAAAAAGTTCAAAATCCAGCACTTTCCCTGCCAGGGAACATACCTATTTTATGATTAGGAAAACTGAGTTATTTTGGAAATAAAATGGGGAGTAAGGTCAAAGTCAGATGCTTAGAGAAATATGCCAAAGCTCTCTAGTTTTCCTGTATCCTCAACCCTCCAGAGCTCTTTCTCTTGACTGCCCGCAAGTATACCACTCTTCCCGAAAAGCTGTATTGTCCTTACCGTTGGGCGAAAGAGGGACAGGCATGCCGTTTGCACAGAATTTCTAGTGCAGAACAGATCAAACGAAATCTCTTCACGTCAGAGTCGGATGGGTTTATTTCCTCGTCCAAGCAACCTGAACATTCATTGAATAAGCATTTTAAGTGTTGTCTGTGCCCGAGGGTGTGGTGGAGCAGCAATCCACTTTAGTAACTGCAGAGTGTGACGCCAAGTCACAAGACAGTAGGGATGTTGCCGAGTCTGTGGCTGCAGAGAAGAGGGGCCTCATACCAGGCCAGAGAATGCGGAAGATGTCACCTTGGAGATAGCCCTGCACGGGCAGGATCTTAAGGATGAGGAAAGATCTGTCAGGTGGGAAAGGGCATCCCATGTCAAGGGAACAACATACATAAAAGCTTAAAAACGATAAAAGGGTGTCGGAGTGGAGTGGTTAGTATCGGTCAGTGGGGTTTTAGCCTACAAGCAGTGAAGACAGTGCTCCAAAGATTTGTATGCTGACAGGCGGTGTGGTCTTTTACACATTTTAGAGAGATGACTGGCAGCACTGCGGAGGAAGGGCGAGGGCACAAGGTGCAAAAGCCTTGGCATTTTCATAAAGAGCAGATGTACAGGAGGAAGATGATGAGGCCTGTGAGTTCAGACAAGGGTGGGAAGAGCAGAGAAAGTGAGAAATCTTTAGCACGATTGCCAGGACTTAGTGATTAATTCAGTGCCTGGAGGGGGATGAAGGTGTGGGACATGCCAAGAACAGCTCTGAAGTTTCCAGCTGGATAGCTGACGAGGGGACGCATCATTAGCTAATAGAAGGAATACTATCAGGGAAGCAGACTGGGATCCTGTTTGACTCAAAAAACATATTAAATTTCTCATCACATGACTAACTGATTTAAATGTGTATGAAATTCTGCTTTTTCACAAATTTGAAAACAAATGCCATTTAATTTTTTTTTTTCCTTTTTGGCTAGAGGATGCGTGTGCTTGCCAGGGAGTAAAGGTAGAGGAAACACCTCCATGGGGCATGGTCACTTCATAATCCTTTGTCCATCATCGTCAGGAGTTTGGGCATGCACATACATGACCTGGTGCTTCTTTTTTTTTTTTTTTTTTTTTTTTTTGAGGGGTTTTTTCTATTGGGCC